ATTGTTTGTGACAGGCATGTATTTGACCTTCAGCCCCCAACTCACTGTTCAGCTTTGCCTACGTGCAGTCCAGCAACAACCAGTATGCAGGATCAGCAATGTGTAACATTGCTGGAGCCTCATTGCCCGTTCTTGGCCCCCGTCTTTTTTTTGGAGTATGTATAGCAGATTTCAAAACTCCAAAGCATTTGAAGAATGGAGATAGACAAATAATCACCTGGAAAACTACAAGGCATGAAATCCATGCTACTGTGGTCTGTGATGGGGTGGAGACATAACTCAATCCCAATCTCAAGCACCTATTGCAGGTTAGCACCTGCTGCACTCAGGTACCCCCTCCTGCCCAATATAAGCACACAGCCCTCCCAGCTCAAAGGGCTGGCAAGTTATGTCCAGATCAGAAACAAGGTGAGTTTTTTCTTTGCAGCACTATAAAACCAACTACCATTTATAAGGAAACGCTTCAGAACAAGATCAAGACTGGAGATGCCAAGCAGAAGCCCCTGAAGCACAGACAGAGGTAATCCAGTGTCTGCATGAAGACTGTATGAACACAAGAGCTTTTCAAGGTTACAGGGCTGTTATTAATTCTAGCATTCAAATGTGACACAGGAACTACCTTTGTTTGTTTGTGGTGCTGGTGTTTATTACACAGTCCAACGAGCCTAATGCATGAACACTCATTCCAGGAGGTGCCCAAGCACCACAAGTTTCCTTCCCTCCTCATGGGTGCACAGACTGCTCCATAAGTGGAACTGGCACAAACACTGCTTCATTGCCTCTTCCAGCCTCCAATGTTTCTGGTGACTGCCGCTTTTCATGCTGTCTCAACTGTTCTTCTGGTTCAATGAACAATTTAGAGCTCCCAAAAGCCCTGAGGCACTAATACAATCACCAGCTCTGACATCTTATGGAACACACAACACTCCCACAGCATCATCCCCCCAGACAGGCCTACATCCTCCTCTCTGCTCCTCTTCTGCCTGGCTCCAGAGGATATATGGGCACCATCCTGCAGCTCTGCCAAGCCCCTCGACAGACCAGAATGATCATTACCTCACTACAGACCTCCTTCAGCATTCTTCATGTCCTGCCAAAGCTGGGCTTGACCACTCTGCCAGGGACCCTTTGCCTTTCCCACAATGATTCTCACACAAGACATTTTCCTTTTTTCAAAAAAGTCTTAAAATAGAGCAAGCCACTCTACTCCAATATGCCCATCTGGCTCACTTAAACAAAGATGAAATCTTTAAAAAAGAAAAATCAAGATCTGGGCCCCTCTAGGAGAGGCAGAAATTATTCTTTTCTCCATCTCATCACTTCTTTCCCTTTTCTTTATTTGAAACTTGCAGGACAGTATCGGTTACCCACCCTGGAATGACATTCTCCTGGTAGAATCTATTTTAAAGCAAGCAAAATTTAAAAAAAAAAATTACAGGGCTCCACCACTTTGTACTTCATGCTCCCTACAGCCCTGCCAGAAGCACACGCAGACAATAACAAGCCTCAGCAAATGGCATGCACTGCTGCACAGCATTTATACCGTGCCTGCCTTAGCACAAACGGGTACTCTCACCACAGCCCCGTCTACCCCATGCAGCGATGAGATCAGTTGCCAAAGAGAGCTGTTACAAGAACACTCATGTCATTAAAAGAAATAACAGGCAGTGGGGAAGGACTAAACCATAGTAGGTGCTTCTCTGACACTCCCTGCTGTCAGTTTTCAGAGCTGCCAGACATTTGGTATTGCCTTGATCTTCTCAAGTTTGGGACTAGAGCCCTGAGAACTACCTGTCCCCTCACTTCTCTGTGCTTCAGTATCCCCACGCTCACAGGGGAATGCAGTCTGGTGTCACTCCTGTAAAGAAAGTGTTCCTTGAACAAAAAAACTACACACCCCGTCCCAAGTGGTAGTCTTGTAATACTTAGGCTCCCCATGCCCAAAATACACATACTGAGAAGACTCACATCCCCAATGAAATATCGTATTAGTTCTCAGAAGAGAGAGACTTTCATTGTAAAAGAAGGGCCAGCAGAAGATCTTTTCGTATTGCACAGAAGATGCTGGCAGAAGTATTTCTCTGCGGTGAGGAAGACTGCTGGCATGAGCACTGTGCCTGCTAATTTCCTAACATGGACCAAATGGTCAAATGGATTTAGATCCGCGTGTCATGTGCCTACAGACTCATCACTGGTATCTCACTTCATACAAGACTGAGTTTAATCTTTTTACCCTATTGACAGGATATTAATTTTTACCTAATAGACCAAGAGCTGCTAAGTGATACAAGCCATTTTTCACATTTTTCTGGCTTTGTTTGGCTTTCCTTTCCTTATGAGGACCTTCCCATTAGTCCTGCCTTCTCCGAGGTGTCACAATGAAGACATGACGAAATGCCAGCTTCCCAGTGGATCCCAAACCGAGAGTGCAAAGCACAATCTGGACCTCTCCAGGAGGTGGGACTGATCCAAGCCACTGCACCAGGAACAGTTTGCCAGTATCGAGAAAGCTGTTCTACTTTAGAGGTTTGTCGGCTTGGATAGTGCCACTCTAAAAAATAATGTAGGACAGAAAGCAGCAGCCAAGTACACCCTGCTGTGCTAGAGCCCCCACCCATGTGAGGAACACACAGCACCTACCAAGTTCTAAGGAACCTGCAGCTGTGTGCCCCTTCAGGTACACGTGCACCTCTTGGGGTGGACGTGTACCCCTTCGGGTGGGGGAGAGGGAGATACGGAAATCCGCAGGATGTAATGTGAAAACACCCAACACATTCTGGGAAAGAGAGAAAGGTGTCATGTCTGCCCTCACCAATCTTCATGCATGCTCCACCACCCTAGGACAAGGAGCTTCAGGAAGAGGAAGATTCGGCAAAGGTTCTCAAGACAGAAAACCTATTTGCACATCTCCTGAAATATTAATTTTCTTCTGGTTAATGAAGATTTGCTTCCACTGAGGACCTTGCAAAATCAGAGCCATCTGTTGGAAACCAATGGCTGATGCTGATAAAACTGAAAAATCCTTTTTTCCTGCTATTCTAGCTGCCTTGAACCAGCTCATGTCCCCCAAAGAGGTCAGTGTGCAAAATATTGCTAATAAGATGTGCACTGGAGATGCACATCCCCAGCCAGGATTTCTACACAGATCTTTCTGAAGCCAGAAATACACTAGCTGCGAAGTCAAACTGTGCTACAGCCTTCTTCTATGAATGTTACATAATAAATAATGCATTTAAGTATTGTGATGTTGGGCTCCAAATCCCAGCCTCACTTAGCCTTTAAAGACTATGCCATAATTATTTATAGCATTTATATTACAGAGGACTGGGGGGGCGTACTACTAGATCTCATTTAAGGATTACTTTCAGACGAAGCAAGTCTGATTCTTTAACATTTTCTTCAAGCAGAAAAAGGTGGCAGCAGCAGCTGGGGTATAGCAAACAAATCAATAGATGCATATGAACATATAGGTCAAATAAGAATTAGGCTGAGCAAAAAAAAAGTTAGCTGTGAAACATAACTTTGGCTGCTTTTCCACATACGCTGCTAGCCATTTGTGGTTTAATCTTAAAGGAGCTCCATCTTGTTTGAGCCTGCAACATTTACAAGCTTCCAAGCAGCAAATTTTTACTGTAATTGCTCTATGTTTCTTTATACTGGGTAACATTTTCATACGAGCATTGCTGGTTTATACACTTATTGCACTAGGAAAAACTGAGGGAGGGACTGGAAAATTTTGTTCTGCGTCCTGCAGAGCTGAAAACATCATTCAAAAACATAAAACTGACCTAGAAAAAGGAAGAGTTATTCTGCTGCCCTCTAATGAGCACATCTAGCATCTGAAAAAGAGCACTCTCAGAGAGGGATGTTCTGGCACATCCTCTCCTGCTACAGAGCTGTCAGCAATGCAGTCATAGCTGGAGCGAGACAGCACCTCCTACACAGCAAAGACATGAAGAAGAAACATCTGGATGGACCTGAGACCTATTCTGTACTTCCCTGAGCTTAGACTAGAGCATATTGCTGTGTCCTGAGGAAGGGAGAGATTCCTAATTCTGACCTTCAGGACACAAGCAAGTATATCTATCAGCTCACCTCTGCAGCTTCCATGAGGATGATCCTCCTTCTAAAGTTACCTCCAAAGTACATTTGCTTCACCTTCCGCATCCCTTCCTTGGGTCTGTCTGGATGCTATTCATACATTAGATCTCTTCATCCAGCCTAGCAAAGAAAATACTGTAACCTCATGATATAGAGTTAGACCATACACTTCACTGCCACAGGGGACCACAATATTGTTACAGGTATAAAGGTACAACAGAAACATGGAGGAATGACTTGCTTAAGTATCTGTGAGTCTTAATGAAAAGCAAAGAAATGCAGTTCTCATGCAAAGGGCATCTCTGGATCTACAGAATGCTCAGAAGATATTCACCTGAAAAAGACAGTAAGGAAGGCAGAGGAGCAGCCATGGAGCAACAGTTCTACCTGGTACTGAATTTAATCTCAACTTTTACCAAGCTACGGTAACGTGATGGGTTAACCTTGGCCAGCTGCCAGATGCTCACCCTCACTCCCCCTGCGTAACAGGACAGGAGAAGAAAATAAGATGGAAAGTTCATGGGCAGAGGTAAACAACAGGGAGATCCCTCACCAGTTGCCATCACAGGCAAAACAGACTCGAGCTGGGGAAAACTAATTCAACATATGCCAATTAAAATAGAATCGTGTGGTGAGAAACAAAAGACAGACACCAAAACACCTTCTCCCATGCACTGCCCTTCTCCCCAGGCTCAGCTTCACTCCTTCATTCCCAACTCCTCTACCTCCCCCCTGAGCAGCACATAAGAATGAGGAATGGGGTTACAGTCAGTCCATCACAGTTCCTGTCTGCCACTCCCTCCTCCTCATCCACCCTGTCCCTCTCCACAGACTGCTCTAGTGACTGGAGCCCCTCCTCTCTTCCTTTTCTGACCCTGGTGTTCACAGGGCTGTTTCTCACTTTTTTTTCCTACTCTTCTACCTGCCCAGCATTTTTGCCCCTTCTTAATTATATGTTTTCCCAGAGGCACTGCCATCATGGTCAATGGGCTCAGCTGTGGCTGCAGTCAGTGCACTGGAGCTGCACTGTGTTCAGCACAGGGCAGCCCCAGCGTCTTCCCCTGCTACCAAAACCTTGCCACCTACACCCAGTACAGGTAAACAGGCCAACACCCTCTATTTTGAAGGAAGAAAAGACATGAAGAAGTTATAATAATCCCATATAAACAGTATCTACATATTTGTATGCTATTTCCACAAATAAAAACTGCTCAGGTACAGGCACCAAAGCAACAAGCGTGCCTGCAGCTGCAGAGGAGTACACATAAGCCCAGCCCTGGGGTAACAAACCACTGCCATGAATCAAAAGCAATAGCCAGAAGCTTCACTAAGAAAAAGATGAAAGTGCCACTGAAGGAAGCAACTTAAACTCAAAATCGTGATTTCTGCCAGGAGAATTCCTGCAGTCTGGAACAGCCTTCCCCTACCTCCCTGTTGACAGGCATACCAGGTTATTTCAACTGAAAGTACATTGTGAACTACTGGATGTAAAGACATAGTCTGTACCCATCGCAGCCGGGAATGTCCTACCCATGCTAAAGAAGCCCATTCCCAGTTATGTAAGAACACTCAGTGACCTGAATTCACAAATAATATTTATTTTGAAAGGAGAGGAAAACAGACATAAGTAAAAACAAATTTTAAAAGCCACGTAGCTAGGAAATGCAACAGAAGCAAATCAGCTCAGAGCATGCACATGCACAGTCACATTAGGCATGAATGTCCATGGTATCCACAGAAGCCAAAATTCTTTAAGCAGATCTAGTGATTTTCTGCATGCCCACCATGCACAGTCAAGCACACAGCACCAGAGGGCCAGAAGACAAGTCTGTACCCCCATTTTCCCTTAGATATCCTGCCACAGACCCTCTGAAACACCGTGTTTTATTGCAGTTCTTTAACAATATCACTAAATACAATTCTTTCAAGAGTACCTTCCAGCTGACAGTCACTCCTTGCTTGAACATCTGCTTGAAAGCCTATTCTCCTGCAGGATCCATTTTCTGTGGTTAGCTTCATAGCATATTTGTAACACTGCTAGTTCAATCTAAACCTGTCCAAATTACCATTTCAAACAACCCAGAATATTTCAGTACCCACTGAATTTAATCCTTCCATACTCTTGTTTCCTATATTTAGCTTAGATAATGCCCCTTGAGATTTACAGTATTAAAAACTCCAATAAAAAAAACAAAACAAGAAAACCCAAAACTTACTTCCCTTCTATAAGCTAATTGACTAAAAAGCTAAACCCAAATTATGTGCCATTACCAGTTATGCCACATATGACCATCAATAATGCCACTTTTGAAGCACTGAAATGGGCAGCTGGTGCACACATTTTTACCAAAGCGTCAAGAAAGCCTTTGCCCGTAAATTGCTCACAGAGTCTTTGAATACCTCTGTATCCCAAGGATCCTCTGAGCAGAATGGCTCTCAGCACAGGAGCCAGCACTACATACTATTTCTTAAGTGTGCATTGCAATCAGTGGTGGCCTGAGAGAAGGAGATGGCTCCAGAAGAGTACCATGTTTTCCCATAATTATAACCTGTGGGCCATTAGTACTATAACTGAAGGATTACAGATTATCTGGGAGTAAGTGCCCCTATTAACAAACTGTATAATTTAAAAAACAAAACTGCAGGCAAGCTAGACCTGCTACTATTCCAGTAAAGGATCACTTACATAGAATACTATAGATCCCACTTAGTCCGAATTACAGACATCAACTCTTCAGAGTTCTACCGTTAAATACACAGCAAAACCTACGTTAGCAGGGCACAGATTTATCTCTCAGTAAATCAGAAATCTGATTTATATAGATCACACTCCTACCATAGAAACCCTTGGAAAGAACATCCAAGCAAAATAATCTTCCTCACATGAGCATTTTCCAGGGGTAGTAACAGAGGAAGGAGGAGACTGACTTATTGCTGCACCCCAAAAGCATGTCAAGGCAAGTCCAAAGGGGCAACCCAGAAGAAGACAACCTCTCATCCACCCTTTAACCAGCCTCTACCAATTTTCTAAATAGAGCATCTATTAAACATTAAACTCCCAGGATGCATATTTCAGAAATATGTTTGACAGCTTGACACAACTCTGTACTGATGCTGGTGACAATGGAAGGGGTCTGACTTCCAGAGCTGTCAATCTGCCCTCTCCACAAGTGCTTCTTCATCCCTCTTGGGATTCAGTTTCTCAATTCTCACAGCGTTAAGCTGTTGCTCTCATGCCCCATGAGAGGGTTTCACTACTGGGACTTGTGCTGAGTGGTATCTTTGCTACCAGTGCCTCCTCTCTCTTTGTAGCATTTATAATTTTATAAATTATGCCAAAGCTGTAACATTAGAACAACAAAGCCATAGATTTCAGTTCATAACCCTCTTTTGTAACACTGCAGCTCCAGTACTCTCCCAAGCAGGGCTGATCTATTTTTGTGTAAGTAAGGATGTCTAACCATTTTAAACTGATTTAGCAGGAGAATAACAAGCTAGATTAGTATCTTTCTAAAGCTCTGGGAATCATAATCGCACAGAGCAAGACATGGTACAACACGCAAGCTGCCATGCCTAATCACGCCTGACCAGGAAGGCAAGGAGGTACACCAGCCCCAAATTCAGCAAGCCCTTCAGTGACACAAAGGACTGACACATTTGACCTAAAAAGCACAGGCTTGAGCACCCAGCATTTACAAAGGCTGGAGGAAGGCTTTGGAAAACCACAGAGCAGCACCCCAGAAGCCTCACCAATTAAGTTCCCAATCCCTCGCTGAGCCCCACCCTCCTCTTCAGCCACCCAGCTTCAAAGCAGCCCTACAAAGCAGTGTGTGAAGGCTGCTCCAGGGCAGGCACGCACCTTCCACCATCTCTAGTGGTAAATGTTATACAGTAGGCACAGCCACAGGAACCAGCCATAATAAGAAATTACAGGGATCTGACACATCGTTCAAACTCCTAAAACTCATTTCAGGCTCCTCCCACTACCAACAGCCTCCTCTCCCTGGAGAAAACTGCAAATGTCTTGGCAGCTTCGGGTACTCTGGAAAATGTTACTGTGTTTGTGTAGTGCTCAGTATCTATGACCACTGGCTAATTGGAGGATTTTTATTTTTTTTTTTAAACATTAATTTTAAGAACAAGGACTTAGACACAGCTAGAGGGAGGGGAAGAAAAAAGAAGTTAATTACTTCAATACATACTAACAGAACTGATTCCCATGATCTGGCAGAAGTCACTCACAACATGGAAATCGTCTATCTCCAGAGTCAGGGAAGTCAAAGCACTTGAAGCAGTGCAAGTTTCAGACACTCAATTAGCTCTTTTCATTTAATTGCACTGACTCTAATTAACTGGAGTTTCATACAGCTATTCTCACAGCTGGCACCACACTGCACAGACAACAAAGTGTTAAACTATTTTTAAGCAGTGTGGACTTTTTACTTTTTAAAAATTTTACTATTTTTATTTAAGGCACCAACGTCTTTAGCTTTCAGTAGGGTTCTCACTCCAAATTCTCCCAGAAGCTACCCACAGCAGGTCACTGTCTTCCATTTCAAGCAGTCCCTACAGCTTTTCACCTCTGCTAGAGAGCTTGGTCAACTTGACTCTTGAAGCAAGGTCCCACTGATTTTCATCCTTTGGACTGAAGCAACAGAAGAGCCCTCTGGCTTTGAGGCGAGTTGTTACAACCTACAGTGCTGTTCGAGGCATCATGTAGACCAAGGTCATACGACCTCACTGGGGAGGCTTCCCATACCACAAACCACTATCAGAGTTCCTCTCAAACGCCATGCAGATTTACAGCAGCCTGTTATAAAACAGACAGACACCAAAACTGCCCTTACAAGGTGATCTGGCATTGTCAGGGTAAGAGCAACTCCCAATGATGCAGTCAAAAACCCAAATAAATTGCATCCAAAAAGCAAGGAAGAAGGGATGTATGGTAAATCGCTACCTAGAGCAACTTACCCAGGTATGGTAAATTGCCACCTGTTACCTTACCAAACTAGCAGGGCATCTGTCCTGGATGCAGCCTCACTCTGCCAGCCAGGCCAGCAGGTACCCTTCCGAGCTCTTCACCTGCTCTCTCTTTTCTACTTCAAGTCAAGGTACAGTCTCCTTATCCACAGAACTCCCATTCATAGTCAAAAGCAGCCTGCTAGTAGCCCTAAGCCTGAAATAAAAGTATTTTCAGCTACTGTCAAGTCTGTAAACATATTAGTAAGTGGTATGCTGGGTTATCAAAAGTTAACAGCATCCCTTCTCCAGAAGGTTCAAGTTTTCTGCTTGCTGCTATGCAAGAAAGGAACTGGGCTCCCCCCTGCCCCATGCCAGGTGGCGCTCAGCTGGGACCGAGGGCCTCCTGGCAGGGTCAGAGTCTCCTCCCCCTCAGTGGCACTAGTTCAGGCTCTCGCTGTGGTGCATCACACCAGTCAGGGTGCAATGACAGGCAGTTCAGCTCAAGCATAGAAGTGAGCAATGCTTTTTGGACTGCACTTCTGCAAACAGGCAGACAAACCACTCCCCCAGTCAACGTAATAAAGACACATGCAGTGTCCTTCACAGCCATTTCTGGATGCCAAGTCATTAACCTTGGGGCTGGGGGGAGAGGCAAAGAGCGTCACTTTGCCAGTTTAATCCCTGCCCACCATTTCCCCTTCTCTGGGATTTTTTCCTTTCTTGAAAATTCTTTTATAGGAGCACTTCCATACACAATGTCAGAGAAAACACCAGCTTATAGAAGGAAGCTTGCAGTTTGACCTGAGACCTACACATTCCAGTCCTAGGACACACCCTTGACCTGTGCAGGTTACACAGAGGGCAATGGACACCTTGCAGAAGGTACATGGGTGGGGAGGAGAGGGGCACACAAAGGAGAGGTGTGCAGCCCACACCTGCCCTGGGAGAGAGCACTCAGGGCCTGAAGGTGGCTGCACTTTGACTATTCATGTCTGCTGGGTGGCTGAAGATACAGTAGAGATGAAAATATGAAAGAGAAATGAGGAACCGCCAAAACGGTTGCTGGCTTTCCTGGGCCCTTCTTCCCACATCCTTCAAGCCTGTGCAGGGAAGAAGAGCTGGTCTCTACCCAAGGCTCAATGCCAGCTGGCATGTGTCATTCTCAGTCTGTTGGGGCAAGAGGCCAGGGATACTGCAGAGCTACTTTCTCTGTCTCAAGACCACAAAAAGCAGCCACCACCACCCGCATCAGAGGCAGCAGGTGAACAGGACAGGCTGAGAGCACAACTTCATGTGATCAAGGCTGAGCTTTATCCAAGCTGCAAAGGCTGAAGGCTCCTTTGATGGAGCTTGGGTGCTCTGTTTTAAAGCCATAGAATCATAGAATCACTTTGGTTGGAAAAGACCTTTGAGATCATCGAGTCCAACCTTTAACCTAACCCTGACATCCCACCACTAAACCACGTCCCTAAGCACCTCATCTACCCTTCTTTTAAATACCTCCAGGGATGAGGACTCTACCACCTCCCTGGGCAGCCCATTCCAGACCCTGACAACCCTTTCAGTGAAGAAGTTTTTCCTAATGTCTAACCTAAACCTGCCCTGGCGCAGCTTCAAACCATTCCCCCTCGTCCTATCATCTGTTACCAGGGAGAAGAGACCGACCCCCACCTCGCTACAGCCTCCTTTCAGGCAGCTGTAGAGGGCAATAAGGTCTCCCCTCAGCCTCCTCTTGTCCAGACTAATAACCCCAGTTCCCTCAGCTGCTCCTCGTATGACTTGTGTTCCAGACCCCTCACCAGCTTTGTTGCTCTCCTCTGGACATGTTCCAGCAATGCAACATCTTTCTTGTAGCGAGGGGCCCAAAACTGAGCACAGTATTCGAGGTGCAGCCTCACCAGCACCAAGTACAGGGGCACGATCACTTCCCTACTCCTGCTGGCCACACTATTTCTGATACAGGCCAGGATGTTATGTTGATATCCAGTCCCCACCCATGAAAGCAAGAAATCCCAGCTCAAATGCCACTCAAATAGCCACTCCTCCTAGGCCACATTCACATGCCAAGTAGAGATTTTCAAAGATGTTAAAATCATTTCAGTGCAACACCACCAAGGGCGTTGCCAATAGGCTACCTCTGACACCAACTTCAGGGAGAGCAAAATTCACACAGACTAAAGCCTGGGCAGCTAATAACAAAGACAGATGGAGGAGGAACATCTTGTCATTTTGGACTAGCACAGCACGTCACGTTTTACACACACACTGGAGATGCTATAGCCACTCCTCACAGGCCGCTCACTGTCATCTTCAGTTTGTGGAACAAGCCGTTTTCACCCCTTTCCATCTGAAGAGTGTTATACTGGGCAACAGCTTGAGAAAGGTGCTCTGCACAAAACAACAAGATGGGTGTGAGAGCTGCCAGCCAGAATTAAATGCTGAAGAAAAGCGACAGCAGCAGAATCGTGAAGATCCAGCAGCTTTCCACACCAGGGACATGGCAAATGACCAACACAAGCAGAAGATTTAAAAATACCCCAAACTCACATTAAAAAAAAATCAGCAAGGCTCAAAACTGATATTCAGAAAGGATATGTTCATTAAAACAAACAGGATTAATTTTTTTTTAATCCTTCATTTGCTAAACACTCCAACATACCAGAAAAGAAAACAGAAAACCAAAACAAAAGAGGAAACCTTCAGCTTCATGAGGCCAGGCACTGCACAATACCCAGGAAGGCACAGAGAAGCGGACTACATGACGTGGCAGACAGCACACTGTACAGGAGGTTAAGGAAAGGCCCAAAATTTACACAGTGGGAAGGCTGCCAATGTCTCCATCCTGTTCTTACCAATTCATGTCACCAAAAATCTGCTTAGAGAAGGTGGACAGCACTAGGATTACAGACAGCAGGAGGGCAGACTCACACCATGTTCTGCAGAGTAACACAGCAAGCATCTTCCCAGCAGAAGCAACTGCTCCTACCAATAGCACAACTCTAGGATTTGCACAGAAGCATTTCATGGAGAAATGTGTTCAGGGTCAGGACAGAAGGAAGTGGCCACAAACAAGCAGAAACAAATGGATAGGAATAAATTACAGGACACAAAGATTTGCATCCTGTCAAGAGCTCCTGAAGAGTAACAAGGGACTGGCCACAGCTGCAATTCTGCAAGCAACACAACAGTGGATCCAGCACAGTGGTAACCATGAGTCAAGACACTGCAGGAAGAGCGATGCTGGAAGAAGAGAGGTCTTACGTGGATTCTGGCACATCACCCATTAAAAAAAAAAGCAAGAAAGCAAATCATGTCACATGAAGTTAGTGCACGGTCCCACAGTAGGACCACAGTGCCAACCAACCACACCTTTCTTCTCATTTGAGGCTATAAAAGGAGAACAGAATCAGACAAGTGGCTGCAGAGCCCAAGGAGAAGGAAGCAGATAAGCAACAGACACAGCACACCTGGAACACCAGAGCAGAAGCTGAGGTGCAAACCAGAAGGACATAGTCAGTGACTCTGCAGAGGGCAACTTGGTAACAAAAGGAACTCATGAAGTATCTAAGAAAGGGAAAAAACAAGGCTGTACACAGCCTGCAGACTCCAGCAGTTCCAAGCTGTCAGGTACCTGCACGGCCTGAGTTTATTCTCGTTTCCACATTTCTTCATGAAGAAAAGGGACTTCCTTCTTTATCAGATGCTCAGTAATTACACTCCTCTGCTCCCCTCTGCGCCACTAACACAGGAACCCATGCTGCAAGACAGTCCTGGTCATCAGAGGACAAAAGCTCTCAAGATATAACAGGAAAGTCAGAGGTTTCAGGCATGCCTGTCTTAAACTCCCCTATAGCTTTGCATCATGTTGTGCAGATCTAGGCTTCAGCAACAGCAAGGCCCAGTACAACATCCGTTCAGACTAATGTCCTGTCACTTTGTGCCCCCCACCTCAGTATAGAATCGTAGACCCACAGAGCAGTTTGGGTTGGAAGAAATCACCTAGTCCAACCTCCCTTTCATCTTTCACTAAATCAGGTTGCTCAAAGCCCCATCCAACCTGACTTTGAACACTTCCAATGAAGTGGCATCCACAGCTTCTCTGGACAACCTGTTCCACTGTCTCACCACCCCGAATAAATAAATAAATAAAAGGTCTTCTTTATGTCCAATCTAAACCCACCCTCTGGTAGACCTTGTGGTCACCTTAAGGACCCTTAACTGGTCCAGGACCAGAGGCAGCAAATGGTTTTAATCCATGGTTCACATTTTCCTGGCTTACCAGTGGTACAGAAGGAGCTAGAGCAATCTGCAGCAAAAGCTACTCTTGCCACGACCTCAGAAATCAAGGTGTCAAGCTATGGTTTTGCAATCAATTCTGAAGTGATAGCACTTGCTGCCATTGCACTTTGCTTTCTCAACAACGCATCTTGTCACAGTTCCCTTCTGGGGAAGCTGAAAATAAAGCAGAAAGCTGCCAGTCCAGTTGTTCATACTACTCCACAACTGGTTCATCATCCACTCAAAAAAATAAAAAAAAAAAAAAAGAAAAAAACATTCCCAGGCAACTGGTTTGCCAGAGCCACACTTGAACAGGCCCCTGCTTCAAGGAGCAAACACTGAGGAAGGAAAACTAAAGCAAAAAAAAAAAAAAAAAGAACCCCCTTCATACAACAAGCCATTATTTCTGACTTAGTTAGAAATATTTAATTCCCGAGGCTCACCCAGATGAGATTTATTCACTCACACTAGTAACAGAGGTCTTTGCATGGATTAGATTATGGCAAAGTATTTGATTTATATTACATCAGTGGCTAAGTAAATTACACTGATAGGAAGCAATCATTCAGCAAGCAACTAACTCATGCACTTAACGGCAGTATTCAAAGTGATGTTGCTGGCTTTTGTTACCTACAAGCATGTGGAAATCATCTGGAATCTGGTGTTAAGATGAGCTAATGATTAAAGACAAGAAGCAGAGCAGGAGGAAGTAGCTGCAGCAGGTCTGCTTCACAGTATGACATGCTCCCCATATTAAAATACTTTCCACTTTAGACCACTGGCTTTGTACCATCACACATGCAAGATTCAGCTAAAATTAATTCCATTTGGTAACATTTTTTGTTACAGTTCTACCCTTTCCTTCTCATGCCACAAGAATTACCAATGCCAGAACAGCCTAAGATGATACTTTGCACCAATCACAACAAGTACACTGAATCAGCCTTGTATCTAAGGGAAGCAACAAGACCATTAGCATGAGAGTAGCAGATACATCGATAGGGCACCCTGCCTCTACCAGATGCACCAGGAATCCTCAGAAGTCCTCAGAAAAACAGGGCTTTCAGTTGTCAAGCAACACCACCACCAGTTTATCCTCACAAAACAAGGGGCCTGTTTCCATCTCCTTTCAGCCACAGCACACACCTGTGCAGGCACACACAACCACTAGTGTTAACCAAGATGCTAACACTGCTATAGATGCTGAACTTTCCAACTTAGATATTGTGCTCCTCCAAGCCATGGAAGCACAGCCATGGAGTGAGACACTGGCTTTTCTAGGAACTGTATCTCCAAAAGCAGAGGGATGCAGAGTCTAAGGAAGAGGGGGAACACAGCCAAAGCCGGCAGCTGCCAGCTGGGCTTGGTAACCCAGCAGAGGATTTCCTGCCAGGTCCAAGCCCTGTAACTGCTCCCTTGTTTCACTCATACCCTGCAGGCCTCTTTAAGCCCACACTGAAGTCTTCCTGGCTGTCCCTAAAGTGCCACAGCACAAGCCCTAAAGTGTCATAGCACAAAACACAGAGGTACCAGCGATCTTAGATAATGTAAAGCAATCTTAGGTAACGTGAGGCACACGAGCACGCACACACAAGGGGAGGACAAACAGCTTTCTCAACTGCCATATATCACCCTTAGAAAAAAATCTTCAGCTGTGAAAAGCATGGGAAAGAGAGTAAGCCTACCTACAGTCTGCCAACTTGACCTTCTCAGAGCTTGAAAAGCAAGCGGGAGAGAAACACTTTTTTGTCTTCATATTAAATATTAAAATAACAACGTGTAGGAGAATCTTATCCTCCTGCCCTGTGCACTCAACTAAGGGAGGATAGGAGGAAGCCCATGAGAGTTGGAATTAAGTTAAATTTCCTGCTGTACAGGCTTTCAGCTGACCGAAGGGAGACAAAGCACATCTGCCCAGAATCTCTTTTCTAACTCCAGGGTGTCTGCCATTGTATGCACAGCCTAGTTACAGTTCACTGAATTAACACAAAAAAATGAATTGATTTCCATAATGAAAAAGTCTCCATATGGCTCCAGAGTGATACAAGAAGAAAGGGCACAGCAGCCTGGGAAGATTTTTTTTTTTTAAAAAAAAAAAAAAAAAAAAAAAATCACTTTTTGCCTTGTTGAATTGCAGTTTTGAGGCCCCAAATGAACAGCAACATTTAGCTGATCATCTGGAAAGCGTGAGGGAGCACAAAGCATTGGGGTCAGCATCACTACCTGCAGGAAGTCAGCACACAGCCTCAAGAGGGGGTTAAATATAGTCAGGCACCACACATCTGCATCATCAGCACTGCACAGGGACCAGCAACACAGGTCTATTTATAAACCAGACATGTACAGCTGTAGCCTGCAATGAAAGACTAGAATTGCAGGCTGTCAGCCTTCAACAACATGCTGTCCAATTTAATTAAAGAGATGGCTATGTTCACATGCCCACATATGCACATATATCCTTTACGAACTGAGCTCAGTGTTTTGAAAACAATACATTTCAGAAAGGTTTCTGTGCAGAGGTCAAGCATCTCCAGTAAATGTGTCCTCACACAACCTTCCCATTCCCTCACTCTGTGACCAAATGTGACTGATGGGCTATGGCCAGCAGCTCACCACTGCTCAGGTAACCACTAGCCCTTGGGTGGTTACTGGGTTTGTTTGTACCGCTGGACATGAAAACAGTCACTGTAGCAGTATTAATCTGCATGATGAGAAGAAATTAACTTAGCTTGTAAACAAGGTATTTGGGAGTCACACACATCTTGATCTGCACCAGCACAGATTGCTGTGCCATCAGTTTCCATTTAGAGAGGTGAAACACGGTTTCAGATACAAAGCTCTGTCTGCCACTAAGCAGCTAGAGGGAACATTTCCTTGTTGGGACTAGAAAACAAAAGCCTCTGTCATCTCCTCCCTGTTCCCACTCTCACTCCCTAGTGAACTGGACTCTCCTGCCCAGAAGCCCTTGAGCCAGGGACCTAGAAACAGCAAAGGACAGGAGGAGAGAACTGGCTGCGATCAGGCTGCCGTGGGTAAAGCACTGTTGATGCACAACAAGCGACTTGGTGATAAAATATTGGGGTATGAATGGCAGCTGCTGGTGAGGCAAAAGCAGCCACAGAGAAGCCCAGAGATCAGGTCACAGCCTGCGCTCTGCTGTCCCCTCAGCCCCTGGGGGCCAGAAGCCTTTGGCTGCATGGAAGACATCCCACAGGTTGGGGCTCCAGCTGCATGGCACAGCCCAGCAGCCATCTGGTAGCCTGAAGCTAGTTCCCCACTTAGGGAGTAGTAAGCACATACATACCTTTCTGCCTCCTCCAACCCCAAACAGAAACCACTTTTAAAAGGCCCTGCAGGAACACAGGAAGCTGTGTTTGGGCTCGATTCTCCTGGGCTTGTTCTGACAGCCATTGCAAATACAGTCCCCAGTGTCTTTGCTCACAACCTAACAGGGCACTCATTCAGAATACAACAACAAACCTGTTCTGAAGGAAATGATGCTTCTGGAGTCCAAGTCAAGCTTTTTTACTAGAGTATCAGGGTCAATCTTCAGCCCGGAGAAGACACCAGAAGATGAGAAGTCCCAGTCCTTATTCAAAAGAAACATTAAGCAGGAGTCAGTACAAACACCACCAGGCACCATTCATTTAAAAAAAAAAAAATCAAACCCAGCACCACCCAAACGAGTGCAGGATGCACACTCCAACAGTAGCATAGAGGTGCCTTTCCTGAGCAGGCAGGGGTAGGTAAGCCACCCCACTGGCCTGTCCCCCCACCCAGGCTCTTCCACCCAGAATGAAGTTTCCACAAAGGCACATTTTGGACTGTTCTATTCCTAATAGATTTCTACCTGAACTTGAACTCAACCTCGCCTCACTCAAGTGAATTCAGGTATTACTCCTAGGAGAACTTTGAACATTATCCTTAGGAAAAGCCAGATTTATTACAGATATATAAGTACGTAACAATACAGGTAAGCAACAAACGAGCAGATTAGGGGCCTAAATACTAAGTGAATGGACATAAAGCAGATCCAGAGACTACTAGCAACTTACTAAATCTTCAGCATTTAGTTCCTTTAAGCATGCAATACCTCCCTAACTCCTAAGCTTTGCAGTAGCTTCTCCGGTTGGCTTGGAAGAATTTATTATTTTAGCCAGCATTATCTCCCAGCACTGAAACATAACTTTATAGTGGTTTTTATAGCTGTATATGGCACAGCCTGTTTCTCCCTCCTCACAAGGAAAGCTTTAAGTGCATAAAAACCATTTACTGCTGCTTTGTGCCCTTGCTGCGAGGGGGCTAGGGGAAGCACCCAGCTTTAACCTGAACTGGATATAAATAACACAGCTGGTGAAACCAGACATGGTCTAAATCTCCTAAATGATTGTGTGTAAACTGACAGCTCATCTCCACCTGCCCCAACATGAAATTGAAGAGAAAC